GCTAAAAGTCTCTGAAAAGTGAGAAACCATGAAAATATCATTTTTAGAGACATCTCTAAATTTCAGAATTTCAGCAACATTCAAAAACTTTCCGACACTTGGAAATAATTTTCAGAGAAATCGCTAAAAGTCTCTGAAAAGTGAAAAGTGAGAAACCATGAAAATATAATTTTTAGAGACATCTCTAAATTTCAGAATTTCAGCAAAATTCAAAGACTTTCCGACACTTGGAAATAATTTTCAGAGAAATCGCTAAAAGTCTCTGAAAAGTGAGAAACCATGAAAGTTTAATTTTCGGAGACATCACTGAAATCTCTAATTTCAGCGAAATTCAAAGTTTTTCAGACATTTATAAATGATTTTCAGAGAAATCGCTGACAGTCTCTGAAAAGTAGTGCTCGGAAAATCCGGGTACCTGCCCGCCCGCCCGTCATTCGCTGCACACGGGTGAGAACCGATTCCTCGGGTACCCGTGTCACACGGGTACCCGTATCAGGCGGGTACCCGTATCTCACACGGGTACCCGTATCACGCGGGTACCCGTACCACGCGGATACCCGTATCACACGGGTACTAATATAAAGTGAGTATTCGTATCATACGAACACTCACTTTATATTAGTACCCGCATTACACGAGTATTCGCATCAGACGGCGAATAAATCACATTAAATAATTTAATTTATCCAAATAAAAACATTCGATAAAAATTATTCAAAATTTATCAAATATTTATCAAATAACCTTTACTCTATTAACTCTATTTCATTAAAACTTAAATTAAAATTTACCAAGTAAAATAAAGTCAATAGAAATTAAATTATTCTCCAAAAAAAGTAAAAATAGAAATACAAAAAGAAAAATTACAAAGAAAATTACAAAGAAACCATTTGTTATCAAAAAATTTATGTATTACGACAACATCGCTATATTGATAGAAAAGTGATAAAAGTAAAAAATAAGTACTTTTCAAATAATGAAAGAAAATCGATCCTATAGAGTTGTATTTGTCAAATTTAGCAAGAAAGTTTCTTTATGACGTTTAATTAGTCCAGACTCCAATTCAGACTCCAATCATATTTGGTTATGAGACCTATATTTTCTTGCATACATTCTTAGAATATTGCTGCTATAAATTCTACGTATGACAGACAATTTTTTAACAGATACAAAAAAGAGCGATATAATTTAAGTGTAATATTTAGAATTCTAGCTGGAACAGCAAAACAATTTCCTGAGTGAAGAAACCATTTGTTATCAAAAATTTTATATATTACAATATTGCTGTATAATATGTTCTTGTTAAATGTAGTTATTTGTATTTTGTTATGTTGCTAGAAATCTATAAAATCATCCA